GCAGTGTGGTGGAAGTTTAATGTGATCAACTAAAATATAATTAACAGCCAATTATTTCACTGAGAATGGTAGTTTTCATCAGTTGGTCTGGGAAATGTTTAAATTGCATTCATTTCATCTCTGCCCACTTGCAGCAGGTTTGCAAGGGGCTGGAATGAGTGATGGGGTTTGCTCATGCAAGGCAAAATCTCCTTCTCCTCTGGGTAGTCAGGAATTACAGAAAGCACCCAATTCCCCTCCCCTCCCCCAAAAGAAAAAGGTTAAAAAGAGGAGGGAAAATTTAAAAGGTACAAAAATATTGGGGGAAAAGTGCTGTGGAAGCTTTTTACATTGAGGTTGTTGCATTTAGGAGGCGATTCCTAATGGCAGATTGAACTTTGCACCCTGATATAGTGACACTGGCAAGGGTGAACTGCAAAAAAAAAGCCTTTAAAAAATCTCCATTTCTCCTGATTGCTTTTGCATCATGCTGGGGGGTGTGTGGAGTCCCTGGTGAGGGGCACTGAGCCCTGGTCCCTGCTAGGGAGGGCTGATGCTCACTGCAAACTCCTCTGCAGCTTCAAGCAGGGGCACAGCTCCATCCAGCTGATAGGGATCACATGGAAACCCTCCCTCAGCCATCTGGATGTGGAAGAAGCAGAGGCTGAAATGAGGTTCCTGAATAATTGACCCCATTTTCCCAGCTATTGGAACTTTTCTGTAACGATCTCTAAGAGCTGCCTGCACGTTTCGGGTCATTTATTTGGGTACTTAAACCTGGCACAGCAGCAGGGGTTTTCTCCCCCCTGTTTTAAAATCAAGCTAAAATTTCCCTTTCAAGCTGAGTCTCTTAATGCAAATTATGCCAATAACAGGGGATTTCTCCATAGGACCCTCGTGAGCAGGAGGTGCTGGAGGGTTGGGATGGAAGCTTGGAGAAGAGTGATGGGAGCAGATGCTCCATGCCTGGGGGGGAAAAGTGCTTTGAAGGGGGAAAATTGGTGTGATTTGGGTGGGCAGAATACCAGAGGAAGCATTGGAGTGATGGAAATCCTGTACAAAAGTGTCATTATAGGTGTGTGCCCAGAGAATTTGTGGCTGCCCCATCCCTGGAAGTGTCCAAGACCAGGCTGGACAGGGCTTGGAGCATCCTGGGGTAGTGGAAGGTGTCCCTGCCCATGAAACAAGATGAGCTTTAAGCTCCCTTCCAACCCAAACCAGTTTGTGACTCCATGACATTTGCAGGAGCTCTGAGAGGGAGTTGGAAAGAGGGATTTTCCTATCAAACCCTGGCTGCATGGATTGTGCTTTCCAATTTTACATATATATATATACATATTTAAACTGGATTTGGCTTTGCCATATATATAATAATGTATATGTAGCAAATATAGCTATATCTTGCAAAGCATATTCCTTTTTTCTACATATATATGTATATGTCTATCTCAAATTATATGTCTAAAAAGCAAGAATTTTGGATGTGTTTGGATGCCTCCATCCTCATCTACTGGTTCATTTTTTTCCCAGGAATAGCCCTTGATGAAGTGGTATGTAAGGAAAGGTGAAAATTAGTTATCAGGGGGAAAAAAAAATTTATTTAAACTGGATTTGGCTTTGCCATATATATAATAATGTACATGTAGCAAATATAGCTATATATTGCAAAGCATAATCCTTTTTTCTACAAATATATATATCTCTGTGTGTGTGTCTATCTCAAATTATATGTCTAAAACAGCAAGAATTTTGGATGTATGGCTGATCAATAATTCAGGTTCTCCATAGGCTTTGGCTTGCAGCCAGCAGCGTGAGGAGCATGGTGCTGCATGTTTCTCTCCAGATTACATCTGTAGCTTCTCATAGATCTCAGATTTTAATCCTTCAGCAGTTTCTGCCTGGATCAGGAGCCGAGTACTAAGTGAGGATGAAATTCCCTTGTTGCCTGTTGAGGAGGAGAGATGCTGTTCCCTTTTTTCAGTTTCTAACCTTGAGCATTTTTGGAAAGCTGCACTGGGCAGTGATTGCAGCACCTTGGGCCATACCCAAGCACCCCTCTGGAATTCTTTGCTGCAGAATTCCCCCTGGGCTGTCTGTCCTTGGTCTTGTTTCCCCTCTCCCTTTCCCAGATCACTTCCTGCTGTGCAGGGATTTTCTTGGTTCCCACCAAAATGCTGCAATTTGCAGGAATCCATCGGGATCACTCAACCCTGTGCAAGCTGCCCTGCCTCCATCCTCATCTGCTGGTTCATTTTTTTCCAAGGAATAGCCCTTGATGAAGTGGCATGTTAGGAAAGGTGAAAATAAGTTATAAGTTATCAGTGGGGAAAAAAATGCCAGTTTGTTGCAGCCAGGGGTATTTTGTGGGGCTGCAGGGGGCTTTCTGTGGCTGGGGAAGGCTCTTGCTGGGCTTTGCACACAAAATACTCCACCATGTGTGAGCCCTTCACATCCTCTCAGGGTTCCCAGAGGCTGGAGGGATCACACTGTGTTCCTCCCATCCCTGGGGAAGATCCTGTTGGCCTTGGCCTCCTCCAGTTCTCGCTTTTTGCACAGATTTCAAGAAATCACTTCGGGCTGCACCGAACCCCCCCAGCCTGGAGCTCGACTGTTCCTCATTAGTGACTTTATTGCTAAATAATTTACAGAATGGGGCCTTGCCAGTTTTCATTGGGGAAGCATTTCAAGTATGTGCAGCAGATTTTCTGCCTTCCTGGCGCAGCTGCCGGGGGGGAGCTGCCTCTCCCTGTGCTGCCGCCAGCGTCACCTCCCCAGCCGGACAGGAAACGGCTCCGAGGAAGAACAAGGAGAAAACCCCTGTGTTCCATGTCCACTTGGTGTCCTCCAGGCTCACTGCTGCTCAGGGGCACTGGGGAAAGGACACAGCCACGGTGGTTTGGAGAGGAAGTGTTTGGGTTTGATTTTTGTTTTGTTTTTCTGGTAACTCTGACGTGGGTGCTGATGGGGGCGTTTTTTTCTCCCCGTGTCCATGATGCCAACTTAAGAGGATGTGTATTGGCATAATTACCAATACAGATGTGGATGTCTCACCCCTGGAAGTGTTCAAGTCCAGTCTGGACTTGCAACAACCTGGTCTACTGGAAAGTATCCCTGTCTATGGCAGGGAGTGGGACTGGAGGGTCTTTGAGGTGCCTTCCAGTCCAAACCATTCTGTGATTCTATGAAATCAATAAGCCAATTTGGGATGGGAAAGGGCTTTTCTACACCTGTTTTTAAAAGGGAGGGAAAGCAAAGCCAGACTCTGAAAGTGTTTTGCAGGATGAGGGTGATGGGTGCAATGTGGAAATAGCAGAAAAGCACTTTATTACACTAAACAGTCGGTGCAGCTGTAGGAAATGAGGTGCTGGAGCTTTCCTCCAGTGCCTGCTGTGGAGGGGATCCCAGCTGGGTTCTGCCAGGGTGCTCCTGCAGTGTAGCAGCCTGGAGGAGTGAGCAGTGACTGGGTGTAAATCTGCAAAATTCAGGATTTGAGGCTGTGGATGGAAGCATCATCTTCCCTTTCCCAGTCTCACAGTGGTTTTGTTGAGTGTGCCTTGAGCATGTGGGTGGCTGGAGGCAGAGCTGAGATGTGTGGGAGCTCAGGAGGCTCTGTTGGACCCCAGCCCTGTCCGCGGGTGGTTTGGATAGGAAAGTCCTTCTTGTTTCCTTCTTACTATTACTATTACATACTAACATCTATTTTTATTTTTTTAATGCTAAAGCTATCACCCAGTGGAGGCTCCCTGCCTCCTCCTAGTGTCTTTCCATCACATCCATCCCATCCTCCTTCCCCAGTCCCAGGTGGTGCAGGTTTGGGCTGTGCAGTTTTGCCAGCAGGGAGGGGCTGCCCTGTCACTGTCACATTTTCTGTAAAAATCCCCTTGCCCAGGATTCTTCTTCTGGGAAGCTGAGAAGCCTCAGAGAAAAAGGAAAACAATATTATCTCATTTGCTTCTCCTGTGTGTTGCTACTTTGGAATGTGGTTTGGACATTGTTTATCCAACATGTGACCGTTCATTGGTTTCATGTGAATTGTTTTTACTTATTGGCCAATTACAGCCCAGCTGTGTTGAGGCTCTGGAAAGAGTCACAAGTTTTTCGTTATTATCTTTTAGCTTTCTGTCTGTATCCTTTCCGAATTCCTTACAGAATCCCAGAATGATGAGGTTGGAAGAGACCTCTAAGATCATCGAGCCCAACCTATGCCCCAACACCTCAACCAGGCTATAGCACCAAGTGCCATGTTCAGGCTTTTTTAAACACATCCAGAGATGGTGATTCAACCCACCTCCCTGGGAAAAGCATTCCAGTACTTTATTATTCTTTTGGTGAAAAATTTCCTCCTAATATCCAACCTGTACCTTCCCTGACGTAACTGGAGTCTGTGTCCTCTGGTTCTGTCAGTGCTGCCTGGTGGAAGAGACCAACCCCACCTGTCTGCAGCCTCCCTTCAGGAAGTTGTAGAGAGCAATGAGGTCACCTCTGAGCCTCCTCCTCTCCAGGCTGAGCACCCCCAGCTCCCTCAGTTGTCCTCACAGGGTTTGTGTTCCCAGCCCCTCTCCAGCCTCGTTGCCTCCTCTGGATGTGCTCAAGTGTCCCAACATCCTTCCCAAACTGAGGGGCCATAGCTGGACACAGCACTCCAGGTGTGGCCTCACCAGTGCCGAGTACAGGGGCAGAATGAGCTCCCTGCTCCTGCTGGCCACACCATTCCTGACCCAGGCAGGAGCCATTGGCCTTCTTGGCCACCAGGGCACATTGCTGGCTCGTATTCAACTGGCTGTCAACCAGCACCCAAGTATAGTTTAGTTTATTTAGTTTAGCATTCTTTAATATAATACAGATCATAAAATAATAAATTAGCCTTCTAAGAACATGGAGTCAGATCCATCATTTCCTCCTTTCGATGGGGGCTCAGAAAATCCCAGCAGCATTTCCCCAGGGTTTGGGTTTGCAGCAGGAGCTGGGGCTGTGCCGGACCTGGCTCTCACTTCCTGACATTGTGTCCCTTCTTCCTGCAGCGCTGCTGCGGGAGGAGGTGGCCCAGCTGCAGGAGGAGGTTCACCTGCTCCGGCAAATGAAGGAAATGCTGACCAAGGACCTGGAGGAGACCCACGGCAGCAAGTCCCCAGAGGTGCTCTCGGCCACCGAGCTGAAGGTGCAGCTGGCACAGAAGGAGCAGGAGCTGGCACGTGCCAAGGAGGCTCTGCAGGGTAAGTGTGGGTGTCCCAGTTGTGGGTTTTTCTGGGTCTGGATTGAAGGCACTTGAGACAGGAGTTTATGTTCACACTCAGGTGTTTATTATTTCTTATCAGTAAAACAGTCTCACTGCTGGGAGTTCTGCAGCTTTTCATTAGAAGGCACAAAATGGCCACAATCTCTTGGTACAAGGGCTTTTCAGACTAAACTGTCCAATTAAGAACTGACACCTGGATTAGTTTCCCTTTTAACCCAATAACTGATCCCAAAGAGCCCCCAGTGCAGACTTTTCTACCCAATTACAAAATGCCACCCAAACCCATGGAGAAGGAGGAAGAAGCATGAAGAAGAAACCCAGGAGGACACCCTGTGCCCTCCATCTTGCTGCCATCCACAACATCCTAAAAATCCCAAAACCTCAATTTCTCACCCAGTGACACACCTGCACTGCTCTCTAGAATCTATTTCACACTTTTGTGGGTTCCAGTCTATCTTGAAGTCCGGGAAGCTTTCTCCATGAATGAGGGTCAAAGTCAGGGCACCCCAGAGCAGACAAATAATCCCAGTGCCCTGGGTTTCCACAGGTAATGGCTGCACCTCTCCAGCAACCTCAACTTTCAAAATGTTGATTAATGAGGGAAGGAAAAGCCATCCTTTTCACCTGGGCTCTGCAGAGTGCTCCTGCTGGGTGCTGGGTGTCCCTGGGACCCCCCTGCTCTCCTGCCCCAGCAAGGCTGGTGTGGAGCAATGGGCTGGGCAATGGGATGTGAGGGCTGATAGCAGTGCTGCAAAGGAATTCCTCTACAGGTGTAGAGTAGAGCCAAGGCAGCAGCTGAAATGCAGCTGGTGATGGGGTTTGGGTTGGATTTGAGCCCCTCAGACTTGCAGGAGGGAAGCTGTGAGTTTCCTGGTGACTGCAGCTTTCCTTGGGGTTACCTCCAAGTGACATTCAGGGTCTCCTCCTTCCTTCATGCCTGCCTTTGGGGGGTTTTGTGCCAGCTGGGACTGTGCTCCCCCTTCCTTACCAGCTCAGCAAGTCCTGGGACTGGAGTGTGTGGAGCAAAATACAACATTGCAGCTTTTCTGCTCTAAAACCAAGCTGCCAATAAATCCAGGCAGGATGGTTTGTCAGCTGGAGCCAGGGGATGATCCTGAGCAGGGAAGGCTCTCACTCGTCAAACCCTGGCAGCGCTGTGGCTCTAAATAACATCTGAAATCCCCAGCATACCGAGTGTAACTTGCACTTGTCAGCTCATATTTGAGGATTATGAGGAGAAGCTGTCAAAAGTTTTCAGGCTCAGAGGCTGAGCAGCACGTGGGGAGCTGTGGGGCCTCTGCATCATCCCCTGTCCAGGATGCTGAGATGCTCCGAGGCGCAGGGAATTGGGCTGAGTCAGTATTTGGGGAAAGGACTTCAGGAAATTTTGTTATCACTCTCTGATGTACAAAAATATCCCTATAAAATCAGCAACAGACAAAATACCTCCAAAATCCTGTCTCTCCCCACACCACCAGTGCAGCCTCAGGCAGCAGGAAATTCTTTGGGTTTATAGAACTGTAATTGGAGGAGAAAAACCTTAATTAGGGAATATTTGCTCCATGTGAATGGGGCAGGGGGGGAAGTGCTGATAAATGCAAAATGCATAAAAGCAGAACTATTATAAAACTAGTTACAAAAAAAAATAAGAGTAAGAAGTCATCTCAGAAGCTTCTGTATGTGCTTCTGTGGAGGATAGTCCAGAGAAAAAGTGAGTTTGGCTTGAAGATTGTGAGTATTTAAGGAATATAATGTTGGGGTTTTATTGGACTTTTATTTGCCAATATTCAAGCCTCTGAGCTTGGTTTTCCAGGACTTCTCTGCAGGTGTGGTGGCTAGGAAGAGAGAATCTCAGTTGACACTTGGATGGGCATACAGCAAGAAGCTTTTTTCAATTGGTGCTCCTTCCCTGTCCTGCAATATTGAGAAGCTTCTGTGGTTTTGGGAAAGTTGTCCAGGCTGGGTCTGGGCTGGAGGCTCTGGGCAGCAGAGCAGGCTTGGCAGCAGTGACTGAGATGGATAACTTGAAAACGAGCTCAGCAGCTGGAGGGGGAAAAAAATCCTTTTTCCTTTCTGTGAAAAATTGTCCAGAGAGAAACATAGCCAAAAGTGGAGGAAAAACGGCGCCTGGTGGCTGGATCTGCCAGGGGAGATGGAGCTGCTGATGGACACAGTGGGGAGGGAAGTCATGGCTCTGAGTGTGGGATAAGGCTGTGCCAGGGGCACAGGGAGCCTTGGCCACACTGTCCTGTAGTTTAGGGGTCTGTGTCAGTTGTGTCCTGCAGCCAGAGCACCTCTCAAGAGCTGCTCCTCCTCCCAGCCTGCATTCCTGCATCCCCAGTCCCACATCATCCTCACCAAAGGCTGCCCCACACCCAGCAGCAGAGGCTGCAGCATCCCCGTGCCTGCAGCAGCCCACGATCCATGGTGGGTCCTGTGGAATGTCATTAGCAGATAAATTATATGGAAATCTGTCATCATTGCTGGCTCTGAGCCTGGAAGTGCAGTGCAGCTGGTTCAGATGGATCTTGGCTTGCTGGGCCGTGCTGCAAAGGGAAGCACAGAGGGCTTGCTGCTCAGGTTTGCTTTTGGGGGCTCCTGCAGTTTTTAAGAGGCTTTACTTTGCACAACCACACAGGCTTTGCTTTGTGATGGTCTCCATGAAGGTGGGTTCATTGTCCTCCTTTGGAGATGCATTTCCAGCCCTTCTCAACAGCATTTGGCACAGGATAAAGCTGTTAAGCCTGTGCTGCATCTTCCCTGTGCTGTGTAACAAATCCTTGCTGTGCAGGGTAGGGGCAGGGATCTGGCCCAGCACAGGGTGCTCTGCAGGAGCAACTCCACCAGTTCCTTTATTCCTGTCAGCATGTGCTTTGTGCATCTTTATTCCACTTTTTTCCTGGGCTAATTCCATCTCTTGCACTTTTTTTATTCCATTAACATCCAATTAAAATCCCATTGTGCTACATCCTACCTCCCTCTCCACTTCTGCCACGGCTGGGACTCTGAATTGTGCTTGCAGCATTTGTGCAGTTATTATTTCCCCCATCCTGGCTGGAAAGGTGTGGATGTGGTCTGGATTTCTGGTGTGGAAATCCCTGATGGGAGAAGTTGCAGACAGCTTTATTACTGCTGGTCCTGCTGTGGGCAGGGACTGTGCCCAAGTGCCTGGGGGACTTGAGGAGCCTCTTGGCTGGGAGACATCCATGAGCATGTGGGCTAATGGCAGAAACCCCATTTCTGGGAAGCTTTATCCAATATGCTGGAGCTTGCCTCTGGGATTATCACACCGAGAGCAAACCTGGTTTCTGTTTTCTTTTTGATGCCAGCCTGGAAACCTCAGGCTGGCTTTCCCTGCTGCTTGGAAAGGCATGAACCAACTTCGTGTCTGCTTCACAAATGAGTTGTAGCCTGGTTTTCTCCTTCTCTCACCTTCAGCTCAAAGCTGTGACTCCCCAGGAATAGTATTTGGGCTGGGGAAAGCATCATACAGAGATCCACAACACCCTCAACTTGCTGCAATGAGGGGGTGGGTAGCAAAGAAATGGATGGATGGATGTCCCAGTGGATAGATGATCCAGAAGATGAGGGTTGCATCAGATGGATGTCCCAGAAGGATGTGTGACCTGGCAGATGGGTGTCCCAGAAGATGGGTGTCCCACTGGCTGGATGTCCTGGCAAATGGATGTCCAGCCATGGACCCAGCCAAGGAAGCCATCTCCACTATAAGGACCTGGATCTCTACACAAAACCTGGTTTTCTCCTTTGGAGACCCACCTGGAGTTTTCAGAAGTTATTGATCACCTCGTTGGCTGCTGGGTCAGGTTTGGAAAGCCCTTGGCTGTTACCAGATAAACTCCCTGATGGAGAATTGCCTCACCTCACTTTTTCCTGAAATGTGACATTGGGCTCTAATTTCCTGCCTGCTCCATACCTCCACACCCCCAGGAGAGAGTGCTGGCTCTGCCTGACACCACAGAATGTGGATGTTTTCAGCATCAAGATCTTTCTGCTGGTGACAGCTGCACCGGGGACCTCATGTGGCTCTTTAATTGCAAAGCAAGGAGCAGCACTGCCATGCTGATGTTATGGGTTAGTCATGGTGACAATATTGGATTTCATGGCTGCAAGGAAGAAACAGGAGAAATTAAGTCAATGTTAATGGGACAGGATGGGTTTGCACATTCCTGTTGCACGGGGCATCCCTGGGGTTCCAGCCGTGCTCCCCAAGGATGCCCTGCCCTGCATTAGAAAATAAGTGTGTGATTCAGTAAGTGAGAAAGTCAGCTCTGATTCTGTTCCTGGCATGAAAATTCACATTGTGTGGGGTGAGAGGAGGACTTGGAAGTGGATGGGAGTCATGGGAAGCTGCTCTTTGGAGTTCAAGGGTGTGCTGCATCTCCTGCCAATGCCCTGGTGTGTGCCTGGACATTGCTGCCTCATCCCAGGAGTGTGAAACTGGGCAGAGATGCTGCTTCCATGGTTCAAGCAGTAGTTTTTAATCTAATAGCACATTATCAAGGCAGTCACACTAATTATTACTCGTGTGTCCTCCAAGGGAACCTCTGCTGGATGGTGGGGCCTCCACCTCATAGGGCCAGGGACTGGACATCAGTGATCCTTGTGGGTCTCCTCCACATCAGGATGTTCTGTAATTGAGATCCCCTTCATCTGACACTATTAATCTCAAAGAGGGAGGGCAGTATTTAGAGCAGCCTCCATCCTGGGGGGAGATGCCTGGGTTTAGGATACAGGAGCTGGAAGCTGTGGGATGGTGAGATCAGACTGGGGCCAGTGGTGGCATTGCTGGGTGGTTCCAGCCCTGCTGCTGTCCCAGACAAGGCTGTGCCTCCCCAGTGGAGCCACTGGATTTTGGCTCTTTACACAGAGCTGGGAATAAAAGGTGCTGAGGGGGTGGATTTTAACTGTTGTGGCTGCAGGAGGAGCCCAGCTCAGAGCTGGTCCCGTCACGTCTGTGCCCATCATTCTTCTCCCAAAGGACTGAGAGAGGATCAAGTGGCACGAGGTGGGAGCTCAGATAACAACAGGGCAGGGTGACCTGGTGCAGGTGGGGATGGTGGTGGGAGCTGGGGGGGTTCACCCAGCTCATCCCAGCCCATCTCCCCCATCCCTTGATGCCAAGGCTGGGGCTGAGCTGCTGAGTCCAGGGGGGGCTGCTGGGTCCCCCCTCTCCTTCTGCCACGTGCTTTGGAGGGGAGGAAAATGAATAATGCAAGTAAGAGAAGTACTTTCCACTCATGGGCTGGGTTTAGGATTTCTTGCTTGTTTTCTAGGGTTTATGAAGAGGTCAGAGGTTTGTTCAGAGCCTGCTGTGCCAGTGGGCTGGGGGAGTTTATTTGGATACTTGGGGGGGTTTGGGATATAGAAACCTGGCCCTGGATCATCAGATTAAAGGAAAAAGCCATTTCACCTCCTCAGATGGACACGATAGCCAGGGAAAATCTGCTTTATCCCTCCTTGGCTGGCCATGGATTGCAAAGGCTCGTTTTCCCCGACTGAGTAATTAGCTGGGCTTGTTTGCTAAGGACAAATTAAGCTGCTGCAGCAAGTGGGGCTCGGTCCAGGAGCTGCTGGCAGCCCTCACAGCTCACTTCTGCCTCACTTTTTATTTTTCTCCTGCCTTTTTCAATTAATTTCCTATTAATTTGGCTTGGAATGAACTTCTCAAATGACTGATAAATCTTCTTTAAGCTTAGGAGCTAATCGTTCTTGGAGGAAGGAGAGCAATAGAGGGGAGCAAAAAAAAGTCTGTTAATTTCAGCAAATCTCTCAAATATGAAATGCAGTGAATGGTAAATTGTCCTGTGGGGTTAATAGGAAAAAATCTGCTCTTTCAATACCCAAACCTCATAATCTTCTTGTAATACTGATACACTGGCATAAATATTGGTAAATATTAGTATATCAAAGCATATTCAACCTTGGGATATAGTTACCCTTCTTCTAATAGTACTTCAGAGCATTTTCTTTTTTTTATTGGCAAATGATTAAGTGTTTTCTGTAAATCTTTAAGGGCCATGAACACTGCCACTAATTAAAGGAGTTTGTATGCTATAGGGGACTCACTATTTAATTAAGTTCATTAGGATTCTTTTTGTTGCCTCCAGCATCAGAGATTGGCAAATGTGACTTAAACTTTTATAAGAGCCTCTGACTATCCTTGAGGAAATTAAATTTTACAGATATATAGATACATATGTGTCTGTGAGGTCTGGACCTCACCCCAGTATGGTTTGATCAATTTATCATTAATTTTTGTTTTTAGGAAGTTTTTGGTTCCTGTGAAAGAATTGGGCAAGGGAAGGTGGTGGTTAAGTAGAGACAGGCAGTGGGAAAGGGCTTTTTCAAAGACTTGGGTGTGGTTGTGATTGTTTTTAGAGGGTTTCTGTAGGAATTTCCTAAGATGGGAATAAAGTAAGGGAAGTCCTGGTGTCGGAAGAGGCCGAGCTGTCCCAGGAGGAGTCGTGTTCATTGAAGTGGGCAAGGAGGACTCCCAAGAGCTCCTTGTCACAGGACAATGTGAATTTTTGCAGCATTTCCTACCTCATTTTCTGGTTTTTGGTGTTCTGATTTATCTCCAGTGCTTACTGGCAGAATAGTTGATCCAAAGGGTTTCATCTCTTGGATTTTAACAGATAAAAATCTCTATAGTCCAAAGCATCTCCCTCTTCCTCCACTATTTAGTCTGATTTTCTCCCTTATCTTTTTCTCCTCTCACCTGCAAACCCCCTCCTTTCCTTACAGTACATTCCAAGTACTGGATTTACTGTTCATCTTCCCAGTAAGAAATAGGAAAAAAAGTAGAGTAAAACCTGTGCACAGAAGTTCACAGCTGAATAAACCTCTTCTGGAGACTGTGGTTGTCACAAGCTGGGGTGGGGTGTGGGAGCTGCACAGAGCTGGACTGGGGGGGCTGTTTTGATTTTGGGGTCTATCCCAGCACGTGTGCAGGGCTGGGTGATCCCTGCTGTCAGCTAATTCTGACTGAGGGTGCCTGGGAGCTTCACTGCACACAAATAATGGTGCTCTCCCTGCTTACACACAGGTGGAAATGCCTTTGGAGAGTTCCCAGCCTGAGGAGGGTGGGAGCAGAGCTCCCCTGTTCTGGGTGAAGCAAAGGCTCAAAGCCAAGGGTGCCAAAGGTGCATGAAGGAAATTAATTCCCCTTTCAGAGTGCCACAAGTCACAGTTTCCTTGTATTTCTTTCATTGGTGTTATTATCCCCACGTGTTGAGAGCAGCCCAAAGGTTCCTGACGTGCAGTTTAACCCCCAGATGAAATGACTCATTGCAGGGGGCAGAAAACACAGCGTGGGCTGAAGCAGCTGCTGTGATTTCTGTAATCTGATGGAGAAAGGTTGGATGTGTGCATGAAGACAGGTCCCACTCATGATGCTGCATCATCTTCTGGCAGCTTTTGTAGTAGTGTACACAGCCCCTGGTGGCTTTGAGGTGGTTTTGTTTTCTGGAGAGTTTTGGGGGCATTTAGGATTTTTTGAATAACACAAACAACAACTTGCAAGACTCAGTGATTCAATATGATGAGTGCAAGGACAGTCCCTGAGTTAGCAGCACTGCTCAGGGTGGAAAAGCAGGAATATATAATGAAATATTTGTGATCTGATTCCTAAACTGGGATTATTTTGGTTGGGTGGGGTGTATCTGGAGCAGGGAGCCACGGGGAATTTCTGCAGCACTGCCAAGGACCAGGTTCAGTACTGGGTAAAGCACTGATGTACAGAAGTGACCAAAACTCCTTGTCCTACATGAGATTTCTGTAATTCTTCCTGGATTTCCAGCCTTTCACAGCTGTCCCAGGGTCGGTGGTCAGTGAGCATCCCTCACTGGTGCCATGAGGAGGGCAAACATGAAGGTTTTGGGTTCTTCTCAGGGCTGTTGAATCACCCATCACATCCCACGTGCCTCTGCTCATCCCCTCATCCCAACACAGCATCCCTGAGCTGGAAGGGGACACTCAGGGAGCCGTGCCCTGGGCTCATGGGAGCTCTCTGGAATCTGCCTCACTGCTAAAAATAAACTGGTTGTGGTTTATTTATCCTGGAAAGAGAGCAGCAGGTTTTCTTGTGCCAGGCCCCGAGGCTGAGGCTGCAGTTTTGCTCCCAAACCTCCTTTTCCAAGTTCTGAGCTGCCCCTTGGAGGATGGGCAGTGATGAGGAGCCACATGATGGGCATTTTGAGGGGTGCAGCGATGAGGGTGAATCGGGCATCTTCTCCCAGCCCAGCCCCCAGAATTCTCATTTTGGTGCTTTTTCCTTGAAAAATTAAAGAGATGGAGCCAAGTGGCTGCCATGCTGGAGTGATCCTCTCTCCCACAGCCATGAAAGCCGACCGCAAGCGCTTGAAGGGGGAGAAGACAGACCTGGTGAGCCAGATGCAGCAGCTGTACGCCACGCTGGAGAGCCGAGAGGAGCAGCTCCGCGACTTCATCCGCAACTACGAGCAGCACAGGAAAGTGAGTGCAGAGCCCACCCCGTGCTCCCGTGGCACAGAGGGCTCAGTGTGAAACCTGGTTTGTAATCTGGCAAAATCCTGCTAAAGACCCAGCTGGGCTCCTGTTGGGGTTGGGATGGACCACAGGAGTTTAAGGTTAAATGGAGGAAAGAGAGCCAGACATGGGGGATTTGATGTAATTTTAACCAGGTGCACAGTGAGCATTTCTTTTTGGGGACCAGTTGCATTCTGGACTCCCCAAAAAGAGTTGATATTCCTGTCAGCACAGAGCTCTTGTGACACCTAAGATACTGCTCGTGGTTGTGTGGTCCCCAAGGGGGTTGTGACAGAAGGGTTTTTAGTTTAGATTTCCCCTTCCTGATGGCCACCCCTGTCCCAGCAGGAGAGCGAGGACGCGGTGAAAGCCCTGGCCAAGGAGAAGGATCTCCTGGAGCGGGAGAAGTGGGAGCTGCGGCGGCAGGCCAAGGAGGCCACGGACCACGCCAGCGCCCTGCGCTCCCAGCTCGACCTGAAGGACAACCGCATGAAGGAGCTGGAGGCCGAGCTGGCCATGGTGAGCTGGATCATTTGTACAGATCTCAGTGCTTGCTGCAGTGGTTGCACTACTGCAAAAATGAGAGGAAAATATTCCATCTCTCAAAAGGAGCTTGATATCCTTGGCATGGGGATCACTTAAAAATAACTTGATATCCCAGGCACAGTTGGGATCTTTGCTTCCCCGGGGGAGGGTGGGTTTGCTGTGAAGTGTGTTGCTGCTTGTTCTGCTGCTCTGGGAGATGTTCACATGGTTTTCCCACTCCACCACCACCACCACCTCAATGTCCTAATGTCCTTCCCCAGGCCAAGCAATCCCTGGCTACGCTGACCAAGGACGTGCCCAAGCGCCATTCCTTGGCCATGCCTGGCGAGACGGTGCTGAATGGCAACCAGGAGTGGGTGATGCAGGCTGACCTCCCGCTGACCGCCGCCATCCGGCAGAGCCAGCAGACCCTCTACCACTCACACCCCCAGCACTCAGCGGACCGGCAAGGTGGGCGCCCCTTGGATGGCAAATCCTCAGTGCCAAACCTCTTCTGGGGAGGAAAGATGGTCAAAACCACCCCTCCCTGTTGTATTTTGTTTTTTATACTTTGTAATACTCTGTAATAGCTTTGGTTTTGTATCCCCATATTTTTCCTAAATGGTTTGCCCCAGATTGTACCCCCTCCCTCTACCTGTGTAATCCCTTTCCTTTGCTGAGATCATCCCCAAATCCCCACCCTGGCTCTCTGTCAGTCACTCAGCATCCCATCCCCTCCATCTAGAACTTTCTGTCCAGGACATTGAGTGATTAGCCAGAGGCTGGGGGTCAACCCCCCAAGTGTTTCTCCATACACTGTCCTAAATGTCCATTCCCCAGCATCCATCCCTTAGGGTCACTTACTGGTTAGTAAAATGTTACCTACTTTAGGTTTCCACCTCCCTTTAAATGTAACCTTGGCACCTCTCCCAGGGCTCCCAGCAGGAGGCTCCTGAGGTGGTAGGGGCTCCCCAGAGCTCCTGGAATAGACCTTGGATTAACCCCTGCTAAGAGCCAGCCCCTTCATCTTTTGCTATTGTTCCATTGTACCCCCAGGGATCAGCCTGGCTGCCTTCCCTATCCCCAGGGATCAGCCTGGCTGCCTTCCCTACCCCCAGGGATCAGCCTGGCTGCCCTCTGTATCCCCAGGGATCAGCCTGGCTGCCCTCTGTATCCCCCAGGGCACGAGAGAGTGCCCTCCCCACTGTTCACCATCTTGGGGCTGGCTGGGGTTCCCTCAGTGGCACTCAGAGAGACCAGAACAGGTGGCGCCCAACGTGGGGCCCGAACCCATGGCCCTGGGATTAGGAGTTCCATGCTCTTTTGGAAGTGCATCAGAGGTTTGCTGGTGTTAATTCCCGTTTTCCCCCCGCCTTGCAGCGGTCAGAGTGAGCCCCTGCCATTCCCGGCAGCCGTCCATCATCTCCGACGCCTCGGCGGCCGAAGGTGACCGGTCGTCCACTCCGAGTGACATCAACTCACCCCGGCATCGAACGCACTCGCTCTGCAACGTAAGGGCCTGCCTGCTGGGGCTCTGATGCCCTGCCCTGGGGAGATGGGCTCTGGGCATTCTGTGGGGCCTCTGCTTCCCAAAACACTGGGAGGCATACTGGGGCTTGGCTGACCTGGAAAGCTGCTGCCCTGGGGTTTATTCCAGCCCAACTGCAGTCCAGCTGCACAAACGCTGCCCTTTGACCTGGGGGTGGAGGATCTTGGGCTGTATCAGGGTTGTTGATTCAATGGATCCATCTCCTTGTGCCATAGGGGGACAGTCCTGGACCGGTACAGAAGAACTTGCACAATCCAATCGTACAGGTAGGGCACAAATCCTCTCAAATCCTGCTTGTGAGACCACTTTCTGTGCTAGAAAATACTTGGGGGTGGTGGGTCAGAGGCATGACGACTTGGGATGAATGGAAGTCATCCTGAATTGTAAGTCTGGGATGTCTCCTATTCCCATAATTTGCCCCCATAGGGATTAACTGAGCTCAGACTATCACAGTGTTGATTTTTTATATGGTCCAGCCAAAGCATGTTATTCTTCTGTATTTGGCCCTAAAACACTGGGATATTTTTGCAATCCAGACAGATGCTCTGATTATTTATTCCCAGAGTTGGAATCCTGATCCAGTTGAATTAAAGAGGCCAAAATCCTGAGCTGTGGAGAGGGGGCCCAATTACACTGCAAATTCCACCACATAGGTTTCAGGAATGTTATTGTATTTTGGACCAGGATCTTAACATTACTTTGGACCTGGATGAAAATATTTTGTGGGATCTGGCTGCAAATATTCTTTGTGACCTGGACCCAAAATTTTTGGGACTGGGACCACATGGTCCCTCACCCTTGATGTGAGTGAAGGGGAAAAATGGTAAAGGAAAATCTGGATGCCTAAACTTGCGTCTTCTCCTCCTTCCCACAGTCTCTAGAAGACCTGGAAGACCAAAAACGGAAAAAGAAGAAAGAGAAGATGGGCTTTGGCTCCATCTCCAGGGTGTTTGCCCGGGGGAAGCAGCGCAAGTCCCTCGATCCTGGGCTCTTCGACGGGACGGCCCCCGACTACTACATTGAGGAGGACGCGGACTGGTGACGGCGCCAGAGCCTCTCCCGGCCCTGCACATGTACATATCCCCTTCCCACAGCCCGTCCCACCTGTGGACCTGTTACCTGTTGTCTTGGGAGCGATGCAGCTGTGTCGTAACTTCAGTTTTTTCCCTTTTTTCCGTGGTTGTTTTTGGTTTTGTTTTTTTCCATCCCGGTAACTCCTTTGTTGTCGCTTCAGTTTGTCCGTTTGGGTTGGGGTTTTTTTTCTTGTTTTGGGAGGGTTTTTTTTGTTCTTTTTTCTTGTTCTTTTGACAAAACTTGAAACTTGAAGGACTGCTGTGTCTCTGTAAATACGAGAAATATTGTGCACTTTGTGCTTGTGATGTCTCTTGTCCGAAACCGCTGTTTTCCGGAGCCCAGCCTGCGGGATGTCCTCGCTTGGGGACAAAGGACCTGCCCAGCTGAGGGATCTTAGAGAGAAAACACACAAAAACAACAAGAAGAAAATCTCCTTCGCTGTGATGTCTTCCTGGCCGAGCCCCGCGGAGGCGACCCGGGCTGGTTGTTACGCCTGCCGGTCTGGAAATAAGTGTTTTAACGTTCCTTTTTAGTTGTTTTAATTTATTTGCACAAACCCAGAGGAGCTATTCTAACTAAATTATTGCAGAAGTTTTGGGATTTTTATATTTTTCCACGTCGGTTGGGATGGGGCGGGGAGGAGGAAGGGGGTGTTTGTACTGTACTGTCCTGGGAAGTTGCTGTTGGGGGAGATTGGGGCTGTGGACCCCCCAGCCCGGGCTCCCTCAGCTGCCCCAGGAGCACTTAACGCCTTGGAAAACGCAAACCTAAACACATGCCGGGAGATCAGATGGGGGCAAGCTGGTGGGAGCTTTGCCCACTGTTTTTCCCTGCTTTTGGGGGGTGCTCACCCTTTGCTTCAAGTAAAATTTTGGGGGATCCGGCACGAGCTGGGAGAAAGGTGATATCCCAGATATCCCATATCCCAAGATGTTGCTCAGATAGGGCCGGCTACCCCGCTCCAGTTTGGGGTGTTACTGCCGTCAGAGGGGGCTGGGGAAATCGGTACGAGTCCCCACTAGGGAGGTTTTTCTGGCTCTGGGGTGATTTGGAAGCACAGGTGGAGCTTGTTTTTCCAAATTCCTTGGAAATGCCCCCAAACCGCCCCCCGGTGCGGCAGCCGCTTCCCCTCTCCACTAACACGTGCCGCGCTCTGCTTATGCCAAGATAAGTACCTTATGCTTTAATGCTTACAGTATAATTTTAAGCTCTTAAAAAAATGTATTAAGATTTATTTAATGAACTATAATAGTGTATTATTTTTCTTATAATTCTGATACATGCGCCCTGGTTGAAAAAAAAAGGGTATTTTGTCTTAAATCACCGAACTAAACCAATGCCCTCGCGCTGTATATTCCATTCCAAGGGATGATGCAGAGAGGCCATGGAGGGGGTGACAGAGGGACCAGCCCCCCCAGGCTCTCCTGGGGTGGCAGGGCAGGCTTTGCCCCATGGCATCTTTTCTCTGCAGAGAAGCATTTTTATATATTTTGTTGTTTTTTTGGGTTCTGTTCTGTTTGTTTTTTTCTTTGTTCTCCTTGCGTTTTTTATAATTTAAACTCTAAACCACCAGAACAGATGAGCGATCTCCTTGTTATCGAGTAGTTTCCTTTGCATTTCAGCTTTTTTGTAAATTAGGAAGTAATTCTAAAAATTACTAAGAGGATGATTTATTTAAAAGAGAACTTTGCTAAATAGCATATGAATTATGGGTAACATTAGATTTAACTTTTCCCCCTGTGAGCGGGGGAGAATCCTTGAAGGCATGGATGCAAATATAAAATTATAAAAGATCTAAATAAAGCTTATTTTAAAGTATGGATGAACTCCATGTGGTTTAATTGGAGAGCCTGGATGGGTTGTTGGCATCTCTGTTGTGGCACCAGGGTGCAGGACACCCCGAGTGCTGCATGAATTTCAGGGGCTCCAGGGTGATGGGAGGATTCAGGAGAAGGCTGGGCCAGCTGTTCCCAGGACCAGCTCCCAGCCAAATGCCTGCTCCTGGATGCAAGAATGCTGGCAGGAGGGTGGGACTGTCTGCATCCATATGAAATGGGGATTTCAAGGGTTTAAGGTAAGTAAGGACAGACAGGAGATGTCCCATTCGGCTATGGAAAATGTAATGGGAAGGACTAAGAACAGCAGAAAGGATGGAGAAATCAGAAAGTGTGCTCCAACTGGAAAATTTATTGTTATCAATGTAGAGGTTGATAAATTATTATTATTGTTATTATTATTCAGATTACATTGGTCACCTGTAGCCTGTGCCAGCACTTCCAGTGGGGCCTGATGCTGTTTTGGGGTCAATGGCTGTTTTGCAGGCCTGGAGCAAAGGCAACCTGCAATGAGTTTCAAGCCCATAATCAGGGTGCAGATCAAGAAATGTACCTTTTATTCTTTCTTCTTTTTTTCTGACAGAAACAGCCTCCTGGGTTTCGGAGCAGCTACTGAGCAGGTAAGAGCCACCATAGTCTGAAATAGGGAGAGCTGGAACAGAGAAAAATAGGAGAATCTCAGGAGAAGCCAGCTGGCTCTGCAGCTCTATCACCTGCAGCTGGAATCCAGCGTTAATGGGAGCTAGAGGTGGCATTAAAGGGCAACTGCTGAGCACAGCAAACATGAGCTGGGGACAGCCCATGGTGGGATTTGCTGCATTTGGAGCGGTTCCCTGCTGAGATTTGGTGTTGTACTTTGTGCATGGGATGGGGTGTGGGTGCTCATCCGTCCCATCTGTGGTTTTAGAAGTTTTGGGAGCCCTTTGGGAGCCAGGAACATGTCAGAGTGCCACACCAGTCCCGGTAAGGCTTCTGCCCTGTGCTGTGGGAACCGTGGCAGACCCTGTATAGGGTGACACAGGTCACCCCCCTCACCTGAGCCATGGCAAACAGAGGGGCCACACTCCCTGTGTCTGTGGTGTCCTGGGCTGAGGGGGGGCTTCTTGGTGGCTTTGTCCCCCTGACCTGCTCTTCCCTGGCAGTGGAGGCTGCAGGAGCCTCATCCCTGCTGTATCCCCCATCAGCCTCATCCCTGCTGCATCCCCCACCAGCCTCATCCCTGCTGTATCCCCCATCAGCCTCATCCCTGCTGTATCCCCCATCAGCCTCATCCCTGCTGCATCCCCCATCAGCCTCATCCCTGCTGTATCCCACACCAGCCTCATCCCTGCTGCATCCCACACCATCCTCATCCCTGCTGCATCCCACCGCAGCCTGGTCCCTGCTGCATCCCCGCCGTGCTGCGCTGCTGCCACCGTGTGAGCAGTCCCCGCGTTCCCGCGCCCCCGGCTGTGTTTGTTTTAGGTGTGACCGCCCTCCTTGGTGCACTTTGCACCGCCCGCGTTGTTGTGCAGGCTCTTGTGCTCACCAGAGCCTTTTCCCTGCTGAGGACTTTAGACAGAGAAAGGCAAATATCCCAACGCCACGTGGGGGCACGGGGTGTTGTGTGGGATGTGGGGTACCCCACAGAGGGTGCCATCCCCAGCACCTCCTGGTGTATCACCCAGCTGTGCCAGTGCTGGCATCACCTCTGGGTGACATTACAACAGAAGCTGGGTTTCCTGCTGTGTCACAGCCCTGCCCTGGTAACCTGGGGATCAGGAACGGGGTTGAGAGGTCACAGCAGGGAAACAAGGGTGAGTCTGGAACATTTCCTGCCTCTACACTGATTCACCCCATAGCTTTAGTTGGTGATCTCCCCTGGCTGGATTTTTGGTGATAAAGAGCTAAATTGATGTTCCTCAAACAGCTGAATAAATCATCAGGAGGTTGGTGAGGTTTGGCATGGGGTGGGTCACAGAGTGTGGGTGATGGTGATCTCCCCAAAAGCTGGTGTCAAGGGCTGCTGCTGAGGCTGCTGGTTTATTGCTCAGAACTGCTGAAAATTTGGGAATGTGCCTGTCATTGACTCACCTGTTTTCAGTGTTTTCCCTGGAGCAGTTTTCCCCTGGTGCTGCTTTTAAAGCCAGCACTGGAAGTGTGGTTGAGCCCTCGCCTGCACAGCCCAGGGGATGCAGCAGTGCCTGGTGGTGTCCCTCACTGTACACCTCCTTTGGGACATCCTGCTCTGCCACTCTCCCTGCAGCTGTCCCCACAGCAGCCCCTGTTTGCCTTCCCACTGCCCCAGCCTGACACAGCCACGAGCACCGGCAGAGCATGAGTGGCTCCACTCCATCCAGCTGGGACACTGGAGCTTGGACAAGGCCTCCAATCCAGGTAAGAAGTTTTCCTTGGAGTTTTATCACTGCTGGTGGTTGATCTTCCAGCATTTTCCTGTTCTTGGACAACACCTCTCATTCACAACCTGCTCTTAATTTTGAACAGCTACATTAATCTCTGCTCAGCTTTTAAATAACCAGGCACACAACACCACCATAGCCCTTCTCTTCCAGCTGTGTCCTCCTCAAGCCCTGGCTCTCCTATTCCCAAGTCCTGCCCAAACCAGAGCTTCACCACTGGGATGCAGCAGCCCTGGAGCAGCTCCAGGAGGAAGCAGCAGGTTATTTATTATTATTACAGTGAACACAGTGCCTTTATTTACACAGTTTTCCAGCTGCAGCCGTGCGAGTGCTCGAAGCAGCAGCCGCTGACCTGGCACGGTGGTTGGACTGGTTGGACCGGCACCGCCAGGTCCCGGCAGCCCCGGAACACCGGATCCTCACCCCGCCAGGAGGTGCTGGCAGGTCACACCCTCCCACCGGGAACGAGTGGAAATGCCTCCCAAGCAGCTGCTTTTCCTCTTTTTCCCCACTTGCATGGCAGGTTCCCAGCCTGCAGCCCGGCAGGGACTCTAAATTGGGGTGCAGGAACTAAGGCATGAGGAAGAGAGAGAAAAGTACAGAGCAAAGTACAGATCACACACTGTAGAGCAGTGTGTGTGGGCTGGGATGGGATCTGAGGAAACCCATCATGGAGCAGGCTGGGATGGGCTTTCCTCCTGGAGGCAAAGCTGGGGCCCTGCCATGTTCCATTATACATCATATTTATATGATGTATAGATATATTTATCTATATTTATATCTATCTATTTATATCTATCTATATATTTATTTATATCTAATATTATTATTTATTTATATCTATATCATATATATCTATT